AATCACTATCGTATTTACATGACAGCCAGACACACTCCAGAAAATTCATACTATGGTTCACAAATAAATAAAATCACAAATCCCTACTTCTATCATGCACAGCCATTAAAAATAATTCTTTCCACACCTCCAAATACCCACTACCCATCAACAGGATGACCACAATGATATTTCCTTATGCCGAACTTCAATTCAACAACTTCTACCATTTTATCTTTCCCTCCCATCTTCTCAGACATAGACGCGAATTAACGAGCTCCAGCGAAAGATTGTTCAACGTCAACAGGGTTGCCATAGAACACGCAATCGCACCCAAAACCAGCGCAGAACACATATCGCCACATTTGGTAAAATTAGGGCGTATATCAGAGTTGTACCAAACATGTTATTCATTTAAGCACTACCAAAAGCAAATATTCACTTACCCTATTTAGAAGTTCCTTCGTCTCTAGTCTGTGGCACACAAAATTCCTTAACAGCATCCAAAAACTTCCTAAAATTATCTGAACTCGAATCCGTATATCGGCGTTGCCACATAAATTCACAAAAATGAGAGTCAAAAATATCCTGCAAAGTTCCCAACTGTCGAAGACACTTTTTTCGAAAATCTCTATTTACCACACTCAACATGCCTTCAACATTATTTATATGAGCTCCTGTTTCTGGATCTTTAAATGTGAGTGCATGATTTACGCAAAGGTGAACGAACCCATGATCATAAAGACAATTATAGGACTTCCAACAGTCAGATATAATAGTTGTACCTGGCAAAATATTTCGTTCGATTACATCCAATATAGTTTCTATCCTCAACCACTTCAAAAAAACACCTTCCCATCCCTTGTTCTATTCCAGCAAACACCATACTTTCCCACCACTCGTTTACCTCTATTATACTTCCGATTCCCAAATTTACTTTCATCTATTTCAACAACAATTCCCGCACCCCCAATCTTTTCACCTTTCCGAAAACAAATATCCACGCATACATCTCTACAAAAGTTTTTCCAATCTGTTACCGTCTTATTATTGCTAATATTCAGGTATCCTTTGTGATTGAATGCTTCACATAGTGACCATCTGAACCTTTCTTCCTATAAATCCATCTAAACAGTTTTTACGTTTGACTAGACGCATATCCTTCCTACATACAGGACACGGCTACTAAGTAAACCTTCATTTACACACCAGTCAATTAACGCTGGTTTTCCCCTTTCACTTCAAATTAATGTTACTACATTCAGCCATTCTACCGTCTAAACAATCAAACCAATACACACCACAAAAAAGCTTACAAAACATCCCATGATTCAAAATTTCCAAGAATCATGCACCCGATTACGTTCACGATAGGGTTTCCATAACATTCAACTACTCAGGCTACCATAAATGAAACAACAACTTGGTGATAAATGAAACAACAACTTCGCCATAATTCAAGGGGTACCTTAAAGTCTACTCTAACCAATTCTGTATTCCCACAGAAATTTTATTGCAGTTCCTTCCATTGCTGTCAAAATCCACAAGCTCATATTTTAAAACTAAGTGTAAGGGAAGGAATATCACAATTTGTTTATAAAAACCTGTGGAACTTAGAGTACGCTCTTTTCCCCTTTCACTCACAACAACAACAACAAAATGCATCCAAAAATGTCAGCATTGCGTGATTGAAGGGTTGTTACGAGCATGGTTGCAAGAGTTTGCCACATTCGGAAAATTTGTTAACTTCTACTAAGGTGGTTGCATTAATACATAAGTATTAATATAGTTTTCCTTTGAAATTGTTATGCTAAGCCATCTCATAATTTTTAGTCCTTTTTCATAATTGATTAAGCAATCAGCAGCCAAAATGCAATGAAAAAGAAGCTGCTGTTCAAAAACTTCAGTTCAAATAAATAATGTCATTTAAAATTGAAAGAATATGAAAAATAATACTTATATTTTTTTTCTTTTTAAATAAAAATATCTGTTATAAATTTATAAAACTAACCTTTTTTTAATGCATAAAGTTAAAATTCGATTTGGAAACCTTCAGTATCTTTTTTTGGTACTTTTCCGTTTCGCCGGCGCAAATCTCGCCAAGCAGAATTTATTGGCGACAACATACAGTATACACATAAAAAATATTTAAAAAATGTTAGTTCTAAGAATTCTTTTTTTGAAGGCATAAACATTTTAATATCGCTTAAAATTTTATAAAAAGCCAATAAATAAAGACAATAAATTTCTAAAAAGACATCAATTTAAGAATTTACTATGCTTTCATGGTTCAACATTCCTGATTCGCCCGTTCATATCACGTGACCCCAAGCGATTTCATCTCACGTAAACTACTCTCAAAAATCTAATGCTCTCAGGCATTATCTACATTAATTTCAAGTTAAATCTAAATTTTGGAAACAAGTTTTAAATGCAAGAAATTTCAATTCGTACGAATAGCTTACTCAGAAATTATGTAAAACTGCAGTGCTTTACTTCGCTAATGCATTCTCATTAGAATTGATGAATTTAAAACCCTTGACTTTTCCTTTTCTATATTCTTCGGCTTCGGGTAAGCGTTGTGATTGCATCCTAATAGACTTAATTACCGAAAATGGCCTTAGACATAAAACTGAACTATCTGATAAAAATTCTATGTAATTATATGCCAGTATTGAAAGAAACAATGAATCTGATAAGAAAAAGCTGCGACTTGTTTTCAAAATGAGGCGTAAAAGGTTACCAACAAAAATATTCCGTTTGGCATCGGTTGTATCATTATTGGCGACTTTATCGCTTGTGCCAGCAAAACGGAAAAGTACCCCTTTTTTTTTTTTTTTTTTGGTAAACTTAAAATGGTGGGAACAGAAAAATATCAAAGTATTTAAAATAAGCATGTATTTTTGAATGAAAATAAAAAGAAAGAAATATAAATTTGTGATTGCTTATGAAGCATAAAAGGAGTTACCGTAATTTCCGGAAGAAAGGCCGCATCAGCGTAAACGCCGCACTCGAGAAAAATGGCGGGAAAAAAATTAAAATTACACAGAAATGCCGCATCAGCGTAAACGCCGCAATAGATTAAATTGCGCGTGACATCGTCGTGGGCCGTATAGATGCAAAAACTCTACCTAAGTCCTGATATATGACATACCAGTTAAGAAAATGCATGAAATGAAACATAACTCAAAAATAAAATTAAAGGTAAGAATGTATAGCTTCTGTGCCGTTTAGAGACATTTTCAAAAATTTTCCGCTCCCTTCTTACTTAAAAACTATCCAACAAGTACTTGTACTAAAACTGATGGGATCTGTATTTGTCAGAATGCCAAGAAAAATACATTCATGCTGAAGGAAAAATATGTCAGAGTTCGTTATTGCGAGGCAGGTGGAGTCGTGTCCGCCTTTGAAAAAAATTGCAGAAAAGGCAGGGGTGGGGAGAGGATGGGTCCTGGAAGATTCATCGAATGGCAGTGGAGAGAGACTATTCAAACTGATGAGAATGTTGATTTGAAAGGGGGAACAATGTTATTGTTCTGAGATCTCGTTTAGGGTGAATAAGGCATGTAGGTCAGTTCAAGGAAAAGAATGTAAACAAAATAACGTTCGCAAAAAGCAACTGAGTGGTCTTTTGTGTGGGAACAGCACCAGTATGCACAATGACAAGGCCATCCAAACTATGTACAATGACCATCATAAGAAATATTTTATTTTTAGTGCACCTAAACGCCGCATGGGTAGAAACGCTGCACCCGCTGAAAATTTAAGTTTTAAACATGTAAACGCCGTGGCGTTTCTTCCAAAAATTACGGTATTTAATTCTTTTTTTTTTTTTTTTTTTTTTTGCAAAACCAGTTTGACAATTACGAATATGTGTAAGCACAGTAATAAGAGCAGTACCAATATATTCACATGGAAATTTCAAATTTATGAATTAATGTTGAAGTAAATATCTCTGCCACACAACAATAAATAAACAAATTCACAACTTTTCTTTATTTAAAAAATGAATACAAAAAAATAGGAAACAACTTTTAAACAAAAACAATGGGTAATGAAACTACTCATATATTTCTCAAGGGATTATATATGTATATAATTCCATAGCTTCATTTTTGTTCTTAACAGTTGGCTCTTGGAAAAATTCAAGAAAAATTTTAACAAGATAAAGAGTCAGAATAATAAATGGACTGTTGATCCATTCCTAAAAGGCTCCAGAATGTTTGTAGTAATTTAAAACTTGATTAAAAATACCTGAAAAGCAAAAATGTAATTATTGTAAAAATTAGACTTAAGAAACCAAAGTGCATTGTGAAAACTATATAGGAAAATTCCATAATGCATAAAAGGTAATTATATATTATTCAACTAACCACGAAATTTTCTCTGTTCAATTATAGATAAGTGCGGCATATACAGATAGACACTTATATCATCTATATTTTCATGACAAAGAAAAACCTAATAAAAAGGCAAAGAAGCAGTTTGGTGTAGTTTATCTGACAGGATCAGCTTCCAAACTGGTGGCAGACATTTTAGAAGTTAGAGAAACGCTGATCACCAAAAATTAAAAATGGCAACATATTTAGAAAAGGCAGTGGGCAACAAAATTTAGCAGCTACAAAATTTTTGGATTTATCCGTCCTGAAACCACTCGAGCGTAAAGTGGGGTTTTGACCAATATCACTATAGCTTCAATGTATTGTTATTAGGAATGGTGCAACATCCTAGCCAAGCAGGTGTTTGAAAGTGACATGCAGGAAATCTCCATCAGGAGTAATATTGCATTTACGGCATACCTTCTTCTATTTCTTGGATATTCTCCATTCATAGATTTTGTAAGGCAGGGAGGGATATTTGTATTTTTTTTTTTTTTTTCCCTAAAGGTTAGGATATTAGATCATTCTAGATATTGGATGTCCGGATTTTGGACTTAGTACAGTAACACAAAATTATTTTGAATTCAGCTAAAATATTTAGTAACATATATTGTTTATTATTTTCAATATATTTATTTTTAGGAGCTGTTCATGGTGTGGCCAAAGGGACTATTAAAGACCTTAACCATCACAGAAAGAAGATGACTTCTGTTGCTGTGAGTGTATTCAGAGTGCAGCTGTGTCTGTTTAGTAATGCACAGGTTAAGAGAAGTACTATATTTGCATTATCAACTCCACCTGGAATATCTGCTATTGCTGTAATTCGTATATCTGGACCCAGGGCAGCTGATGTTTTTTACAGACTGACAAAAGTAACTGAACTTCCTAATTATAGAAAAATTCTTCTTTGCAAATTAAAGGATCCTGTTAGCATGGAACTGTTGGATAAAGCAATAATGCTATGGTTTCCTTGTAAGTTAATTATTTACATAAAATTCAACTATAAATTTACAAGAATGAATGTATAAAACTATATGTATGAAACCTAATGCATTAACAGCTCTTTTAACATACTCATTGAAGCTAAAATCCATTTCAGATTAACTTTACGCACTAATTGGAAAAAAGCTATTATCACACTAACCTAACATCAGTTGATAATGCACACAAAGCATTCATAGGTTGCCACTATGTCGCAGAATTGTAAGAACACATATATATATATGTTCATACAATTCTGCGACATAGTGTGTGGCCCCGTGATTCTTTTCTAGATCGGGTGGCTTATCAAAGAGTACTGAAACACATTTTGATGGCATCATAGATTGTCATATAACTATTTTGATGACAAGATGCGTTGCCTTCTAAATACTTCTCATTAGTGGAGTGTGACTAATAAGAAATTCTGAAAACTTGTTGTGATATCACAATTCAATGATATATTGGTATTAATTTTTGTGTAATAATCATGCTTGTTTCATTTCACACAGGTATAGTTTTAGCCATCTAAAATTATAGAATTTCTTAAAAGTTATAAGGTATTTCTCCCGCCTTCTTGGCAGGCCTTCGTGGTGTGGTGGGCTGCACGCTGGGCGCATATTCCAGAGACCCGCAGTTTGATTCCCAGTGAAGGCATTGCATATTTTTCATCACTCCTGCTGTAAAAATAGCCTAATGTCTCTACAAAGTTACACTTTTCGGTACTTTTCCGTTTTGCCGGCGCAGGTGATAAAGTCGCCAATAAGGGTACAAATGATGCCAAATGGAATATCCTCGATGGTACCCTTTTACGCCTCATTTTCAGAACAAGTCGCAGCCATTTCTTATCAGACTGACTGTTTCTTTTATTACTGACATACAATTACACAGAATTTTTACCAGATATTTCAATTTTATGCCATAAGGCTATTCACAGTAATTAAGTCAATTAGGATGCAATTACATCACTTACCCGAAGTCAAAAATAGAGAAAAGGCAAAGTCAAAGGTTAAATTCATCAATTCTAATGAGAATAAACTAGCGAAGTAAAGCACTGCGGTTTTACATAATTTCTTGAGTAGGCTATTTGTACGAATTGAAAATAATTCTTGCATTTAAAACTTGTATTCCAAATTAAGATTTAACTTGAAATTAATGTAGATAATTACTAAGAGAATTAGATTTTTATAGCGTAGTTTACGTGAGATGAGATCACTTGGGGTCACATGATATGAGCCAGCAAATCAGGATATTGTTTAGTAATATTAAAGCATGAATTTTATTGCATAAACAGTTTGCTTAGTGATTTTATTCATATTAATGAACATTTTATTCTGATCCAGCTCTAGCAATTTTGCCTCTCTTTTGGATATTAAGTATATGGTAAATTGTTTAGGCTAATTTTATTCTATCGCAAAGCCACACCATACTATGCTAATGCGTACTGCACCACAGATAAATCATTCATTAATTCTTTTGCATTTTACACACATATATGTTTTCTTGCAATATTTGTCATACTTCTAATTATTTTGAATAGTATATAATCTAAAGTATTAAAATTATTTAAAATATCAGCCTACAAACCTATGATGCCATATTGCAGGCCTAAATTTGTTTTTTGCTTGTGCTATATTATGTACTTGAGTTTTTTTTTTTTTTTTGGTACTTTTCTTTTATGCACCTACCACACATTTTGGCAAGTTTTTAATCATAAACAATTTCTAGTTATAAGATTAGTTTATAGTGTGGCAGGTGCATAATGGAAAAGTATCTTTTTTTCTTAATGTATGAAAAAAATATGTTGGTACAAGAAGATCAATTAATTAAATATCATTGAATTCACATTATTAGCTACTAATGTAATATAATGAAACCTTGGATCATGAATGCCTCGCTTCATGAATAATTCAGTTCATAAATAAATTATTTGAACGAAACAAGCCTCAAATTATGAACGGTGTCTCAAGTTATGAACACTCAAGTTGGCAACAAGTGTTTTGAAGTAACTTCTGCCATATAATATAATACTCAGGGCTGAGGAAGCTGACAAGTTATTACAGAATCATAAAAATGAGCTCAATATGAATAAAACTACAACTTCAAAGAAGCAATAAAAAGGATTTGAAAGAAGTGTCTTTAGAAGTAGAAAAATGACGTTAGTTTTCTGATCTGTGAAATTGGTGCCAAAAGGATTAAGATACAAAATTTTCATGTAAAATTTCGACCCGGATTAAGCAGCAACAAGGTTTTCAATGACATTGCCATGTCTCACTTTAGAAATATTTTGAAACATAGCCATAAAAAAACCCATTGGGAAAATTTTGAGTGAAACAGAGGCGCAGTGATTCTCAAGTAAAGTCAAGTGGCATTTAGAGACAAAGAAATGATGAAAAAAGATGCCCTATAAAAACAGTTATCTGATATTTTTATGGAATTTTGCGTTCAAACAATAATGTTTTACCCGTCATTTTCCTATTTCTTTGTACAGATACGGTAAAATTAAATTAATTTTTCATTTATTTTATTTATTTAATGTTGTGTTTATCTTTTCTGTTTCATATTTAATTACTTCTGTTGGTTTATTAAACTGTGCTTAAAAGAACTGTTATAAAATTGAAATAAGCAATATATGTGGCTCAGGAACAAGTCGCATCATTTTGCATTATTTTGTATGGGGAAAATTATTTCGGCCATTATGGTATGCAAATGGCCTACAGAAATGAATCAAATTCGTGAATCAAAGTGTCATTGTAAATTACTCTAAATTAAATTAAATCCATCAGTAGCCAAATAGTTAAAAGTGCTGAACACTTAAGATTTTTGAATAACTATAGAGTTTGAATCCTATTCAGCAAGCTAGCTGCATTTTTATGGCTGTTCTCATGTGTAAGTGTAATGTTTTTCTTTGAAAATAGTAGTCCACCAATAGCCAAGTAGATAAGGCTGCTGAATGGTGGTAGTTTGATCCATCCTTTTAATTTTGGTAAGCGTCAGTGTTTTCTTCATGCATAGCATTGTCAACAAAGTTATACATCTCTACCTTTAGGCAGATAGGCCCCATATGCTTTGCCTTAATTAATTAAGCTAACTGCTTTATGTAAGTGCAAACCAATTTCCTATGCCTCAAAGGGATGCCTTTATTGAATTTTATTTATTTACTTTGTTAGCATCTTAATTCCTGGCCTTAATTAAATTCAACAAACTGGACTTAATTTTTAAATCAGAATTTTTGGAGCCCTACTATGAGCCATCAGAAAAGGCTAATAAAAATAAATTGAGAAATGAGTAAATAAATTATAAAGAAACCAAAACATTGGTAAATTAGATTAAACTACTAATAAGGAGATAAGTAATAAATTTAAATAACTTATTTAAAAAAAAATTAATATTATTTTGTGGGTAAAAGGATAATTAATTTGAACAGTGTTCCCCTTTTAATTTATTGAAACTGCAGTCCTATTGTAAGTATCTTGCATTTTATGTACTTTGCATAAGCAAAACGTTTGTGCTGGCCATCTCATCTTTCTGGTATTAGATTGTCATGATGGGCATCTCATCATTCTTCATGTGCTTATATCACTGATATCAAATTGATACAATGGCCAGTTATTAAATTCTTCATACACTTATATCACTGATATCAAATTGAGATGATGAGCATCTTATTCTTTCAGCCTCAGTATCATATTTTTTAATTAATTGCTTATATCATTCGTATCAAATTGACATGATGGGCATTTCATCATTCTTCATGCTCTTATATCATTGATATTAAATTGGGATACTAAATATCATTTGTTGTATCTGTGGAAATAATAGTTTCAAACTAATAATGTTACTCTAATACAGCTCCTAACAGCTTTACAGGGGAAGATGTTTGTGAACTGCACATTCATGGAGGAAATGCTGTGATAAAAAGTGTTTTAAATGCTTTGCATAAGCTTCCACATTTCCGGTTTGCTGAAGCTGGGGAATTTACAAAAAGGTGAGAAATTAATACATTACATTTTCCATCATATTTTCATCCTTTTACTTAAATGTTGCTTGTTGCCATTTTTGATTTTAAAGTATTCTGTGAATTATGTTGATACCTGCTGCTCTTGATCATGTATTTAAATACAAATATTTTCTTGAAAATGTTGATACACAATATATTTGTAGAACTGAAATTTAAAACTGTAATTAATTAAATTCAGCATAAGTAAAAGCTTGGAAATTTTCTGTAAGATGAAGAAAATTGTTTGATTACGTTGTCTGTTTTAGATTCTCCAAGGTATATTTAAAATTACTTGGATGCTCCAAGGTATACTTATCTTTACCCATACCAGGAGTACACAGAGTGGTCAATATAAATTTCGAGGAGTTAATTTGACATTGAGGAGGGTCGGTTTGGATTTGGGTCGATATGATGTTGGTCAGTTGGACTGACTGATCTGATACTGAGAAGGGTTGGCTTGGACTTAGCTCAGTTTGACATGGATAGGGCTTAATTTGGATGCTAGAAGGATGATGACAAAAATTAAAAATCAGTTATTCAAAAATATACAATAAAAAAAATTCTGAAGGCATTCAGATTTTACATTATGCCTAAAGGGAACGGTTTTTTTTTTTTTTTTTTTTTTTTTTTTTTTTTTTTTTTTATTTTTACTTTTTTTTTAATATCATGTTCTTTGCTCTTAAACCATAAAATTCAGTTCAACAGCAATATCACAAAATATCTGAAAGAGCATATCTTTAGAATTCCGATACACAGTCTCGCGTGCTAGAGCTAAATCCCCCCCCATACAGTGTTGCCATTGCTGGCTTTGAAATGGTTGAGTTTAATCAAAAATTCTTTAATATTGGACAAAATATGAAATAGTTAATAAAACAAATTCCAAATTTGGGCTTGGGATGCCATACGTGAATGGAGGACTACGTTATTCAAACTTTGATGTTGCTAGGTGCCGTTGTTTTATCACAATGTGAGAAACATACATACATTTATGTAGATTATTCATTATTTAATTTCTTTAAATATAATACGGAGCTGTAATAGTTGGTGGCAACAGTTTGAAAAATGAGAATACAGAAAGTGAATTGACGCAAAATGCTAAAACGAAATTAATAGCCCTTCTGGGCTAATAAATGACTAAACTGTGACAATTTATTTTAAAATTAATTTGGTGCTACTATATTATATATATATATTATATCGTATTAGGAAAAGGAATTAAAATCTTAAAAATATAAATACTGTCTAAACCAAAGAAATAAATTGTGCTTTATGAGCAAAACTATAAAAGTAAATTTGGCCAAATTACTTGGCTTCTTCACTTTTACTTAAATTTTAAATTTTTTCTTACAGGTTCTCAACTTTTTCTTTTGCATTTTTGTGATACCTGGAAGGTTGTAATTTTAGTATTTAGTATCATTTAATTATACATGTAGTTATGTATAAGGAAACTAATTCATTAATTGTATTGTATGTTTCTTGTAAATATACAAATAATCCAAACAGAATCAATGTCATTTGGTGTAATCAGACTGAAATTTTTCACTTTAAAGCAGTTATTCAAGCTGTATAATATTGTCCAAATAGTTCAGTTTTTTTTTTTTTTTTTTTTTTTTTTTTTTTACAAAAGTGGGGAAAAAAATTTGAAATGAAATTAAAGATTTCTTTTCTTTTAATTAAAATGTTATTCCTTTCTTAATTTTAAAATGTATGATTCATTAAATCATTATTCCAATGTAAAAGAGTTTTATTAGAGTCTGCATATTTTTGTTTGATTTCTATTAAATTCAATATTTCCAATGTAGATAAATCAATATTTTCTTTGTTTTTGAAGAACATTGAATTAAAACAGAATTTACAAAATTATGACAAGATGTATGTAATCTAAAAATAATAAAATTTTGTAAATGAAATCTAAATGTCATATTAAGATTTTTTTTTCCCCTGTAGAATAATTATGTAACATATTAAAAGGTGAAAAATTCTTGAGATTTTGACTGTCAAAAAAAATCAGATTCCTGATCTAGGCATTTCAATTTTCATATTTGCTTAGTAGTCTGCTATTTTGGAAGTACATAAGCTCACTTTAATTAAGCATTCACATATTTATACAGTACAAAGTCCGTAATCTGGACATCCATTATCCGGAATGATCTATAATCCGAACCTCAAAAGGCCACAAACTTTTCTTTTGGTATGTTTTATGCATGGGCGTAAAGAATTCATGTGCATACAACCCAATTGTTTCAGAGCTTGCTTATGTTGGGCTTCCGTTTCTGCATAGAGCATACATTACGCATGTGCGCGTTAAAAGAAATGTTTAATAAAGTAAACAAATAAATATTAAGCTTTTTTTTTTTTTTTTTTTTTTTTTTTTTGTGTGTGTGTAAATTTTGATACCCTTTAGATCATAATTGCTCTTTATTTCATAAATTACGGTTTCATATTTTTAACTGTATAATTTCTGCATGCTGTCTTACCAGATTTAAATTGACGATCTATAATCCGGAAAAATCCCTAATCCAAAATCGCAGAAGTCCCAACGAGTCCGATTTACGGACTTTGTACTGTATTAAAAACCTGATGTGGACTTCTTTAAAAATTATGACATATTTTCGTTCCAACATGTGCATAATCTGTCAAAAAAAAGCTGATTGTTTTATATGTATATCACTATTTATATTGTGACCCACACTAATAGTTATATTGCACTGATGACATGATGACATTGTCATTAATAAAAATAGTTTCTTAATTTATGTTTCTTGCCAATAGAGCATTTTTAGCTGGGAAGTTGGATCTGACTGAAGTAGAAGGATTGGCAGATTTATTACATGCAGAAACAGAAGCCCAACACAAGCAAGCTCTGAAGCAATTGGGTGGTGCTTTGCATAATCTGTACAACAGTTGGGCTGATAAAATAAAAAAGGTCTGTATTTAGATTTTGACAACTAAGGCTAAAATATTTGGCAGTTGGCTGCTTAATATTTCATCACTGTATTTAATATTTGACAATTGAGTCCTTAATATTCAACAACTGACTTTAACATTTGACAACTGTAATTAACTTTACAACAGTATTTAATATTTGATAACTAGAAAAGAATATTAGCACATTTCCACTTTTTTGTCATATCTGACTCCTATGTTCATCTTTGAATGATTTCCTAAATATATAAAAGCCATTAAGTTCTAAAGAAATCAAGTTGTGCAAGCTCTTTTATAATATCAAAGTTGAAAAAAAAAGTGCTTGTTTTATCACCAGACAATCAACTTTTCAATTCCTTCCTCATAAAAGTCTACGTATTGATCATGGAATCATTTTTTAACCTCTATTCTGATATCATTATCAATGTAAAGTGCATTCGTACAATATAACATCTTGTACAATGGGACAAATACAAGATGGGATCTGGAAGATGAGTTACATTAATCATCATTAATATCTTAAATTAAGACTTTTCAGTGGTTTCTGTCAAAATTGCGATAAGAGGTTACTTCTCAAATCAATGGTATGAAAAAACCATGATCAAATCATTTGTAATTTAATGAGTTCTATTCACAATCAGGTGATATCTTATGTAAAAAATTATGTCATTGGGTCTGTAGCAAAATTGCTGAAAGGTCATTTGTCAGTTTGGGAATAATGGAGGAGCCTTGATTATACAAAAGACAGTCTTGTCAATGATTTGTAGTTGTAGTGAGTTTCATTAATATTAAGCAATTTATAAAGTCTATAGCATAAAATATTTCAATGGTTCTCTGCAGATCTGCTTCAAGCAAGTCATTTATCTGTTAGCAACAGAGGTTAACCTACTAAATGAGGATCATGTAAGACAACAGTCCAGTCAATCATTCTACTATTCTACAAGTTCCAGTTATTGCTAGGCAGTTTCTTAACCTTTTTTTCTGAAGGCTGAGACATATGTGTTTCACATATTCACTGCATTAAGGCTGCAAGAAATTTAGTTTAATATGGAGATTTAAAATTTCCTACTTAATATAGAGTAGGAAATGGCAGACCCTGTGAATTTGTTTCTCTGTTCCTTTCTGATTGAATAGTTGACTAAAGGATGGCTTCAATGCCAAAAACATTAGATAATTTTTTTTCTTGCTTGAACAGTATTTTTACATTTTCGATAGTAAAAAGAAAGTAAAATATGCCGAAAATGCTGCTTTTCACTTTCCATATTTGAAAGTGTACCAACCAAAAACTACACGGAAGAAAGCAAAATTACTTTCTGAACAACCCAATAATATAGAACATAATATATATGTATGACATAAGTAGAATATAAATGTATCTATGAAATATTGAGTATAAAACATAAATATATGCATGAAATGTTAAATGTAGAAAATAAATATAAGTGCTATTTCCTAGAGGACATAAATATAATTATGTAAAGCATTTCTTACAAAACACAAGCTTAAATTCCATCTTTCTGGCAACCATCTATACATAACATCAAAATTGTTTGGAACTGTGAATGTTTTCTGAGAGATTTCATTGCATATATATCTATTTGAGTTATTGAATTACAAGAATAGCTTACAAAATTGTAGTTACTAGTTTTTATCTATCAAATTACATTGTGTTTTTCTTTCAGTGCCTTGCTAGACTTGAAGCTTATATTGATTTCAGTGAGGACCAGCATTTGGACAATACTATTTTAGATACTGGTCAGTAAGTTAAGAAAAGTGCTTAGCCAGTAATTTGTTATAATATTGAAGATTTTTTTTTTGGAAAACCCGCTTAATTATTTGTAGCTGCTTTGATAAATGTGCTTAATGTGTTTCTCTTATCCCTGTTAGTGTTTAATGCTAATACCCATATTTCTAACACTAAAAAGCTCCTTACTTTCATAATATTAATATTTACTAGAATTGCCAAACTTTTTAAATGTCCATATTTTGGGGATTTGTTATTCCTTTTGGAATACTGCAATTCTTAATGCTGTTTAAATGCTCATACTTTTGTGATTTTTTATTTCTTCTGAGTACATTTTCGTGTTTTACAGTAGAGTTACCAAACTCATTAAATGAAAACTTTGAAAATTCCTTGTTTATTTGGAGGGAGGGGGAGAATACTGTAATGCTTAGTGCTAAATAAATGGCCATACTTTTAGGATTGATTGTTTCTTTAGGAATATTTCTGTCTTTAATACTAGAAGTACCAAGCTCATTAAATACCCACACTTTGAGGATTATTTGTTTCTTTGGGAAAACTAGTACTTATTAAATGCCTATACTTTTGGAATATTTGTTTCTTTGGGAGCACTTCAATGTTTAACACTAGAATTATTAAAATCATTAAATGCTCACACTTTTTAGGTGTCTTGCTTTTAGAATTGCTAAATCCATAAAAAGTATTCTAGTTTATGTTGATTTTAAGTTTGAAAAATTGGATTTCCTTTATAGGAAAATATGTACTAGTAAAAGCACTAATTTGACTTTTTTTTTTTTTTTTTTTTTAATATAAGACATATATCTCTTAACTTATTTATTTCATTAAAATTTCTACATCACTAAATTTATTTAGAAATTTCTAATTGCCTATTTACAACCATTTAACAGTACTTATTTTAATGTATAATTAATTCTAGATGAATGGAATGATTTACAATATTTCGTGCCTTCTTGAATTATTCCTTAATAATGATAAGAAGAATATGTATCTTCTTTAAACTGTTGTAAAAGATCAGTAAATATTCATTGAAGTAAATGTGAACAACAAATAATAAATATAGCATAACTGAATGAAACTAGTAATTAACTAAATTTACACAGATTAAGATTTGGTGCATAGCTGTTCGTGTATTATCTTATATTTTCTTTCCAAGTATTAATTATGTGAAGCATTTGGAAATATTGGAGAATTACCAAATATTTTTGTATCTTGTTATCTGCAGCAGTTTAGCTATTAAGTTTTTATCATTATGTATTTTTGCATCAGAAGATTCACAGAAAATTGTAGAAATATTGAAAGTTCAATATTGAAAGACTTCTTTCTCAATGACATTGCTTTTTCCACTAAATTGCAAATCAACTATTCCTGGCCATGGTTCCAGCTGTAAATCTTTCTTTGATGGGTGTACTGTACTTTCAGCCATCTCTGAAGAACTTACTTATTTATTTCAGAACTTATCTGTGCAGTACAAAATCTGAGATCCAGAATCATTGGGACTTAGATGATTCCAGATTTTAGATCATTAGTTTAAATCTAGCAATATGACATGAAAACATGGCAGTTTGAGGCTTTGCTTATTGTTTAGGTCACATGGATGAATGTTAATATTCCTTCCCAACAAGGCCATATCCTACCATGATTCCTTCTTTGCACCTCATTTGTAATTTATTTCTAATCTGTTTTGGCACACCAACATAGGCTTTACAACCAAATATTTTAAAATAAACAATGCTGGGTTTTCTATTTAGGAAAATTTCATGAGGCGTTCGGTTGCTTTTATGACATACTCTGTTTCACATATGTACGAAACAGCCAAGAGCTTCTGTCCACCATTCTTTTCCCATTTTATCATCAAGCATAGCTTTAACTGTGTCTAATGCCATTCGGTTAAAACGTTCACACACACTGCTCTCTTCTAGGGTGTACGTGTTTGTGCGTTCAACACTAATTCCATTTTCGGCTAAGTACCCTTCGAATTGCCTGTTACAGAATTCCCTACCGTTATCGATGCATATACTTATTAATTTTCTATTTGTCAGTCTTTCCATTTGCCTATGATAATTCTTAAAGTTGTAGAACAATTCGTTTTTATTTTTCATACAATACACTGTTACTAATCTACTATAGTCATCCACAATAGGAAGGAAATATTTACTCCCACCTTTAGATGGAACTGGTAGTGGGCCACAAACGTCTAAATAAACCAACAGCAATGGTTTATTTGATCTCTTCAGAACAGTTTTAAAAGTTATTCTACTAGATTTAGCAATAATACAGGGTTCACACCTCTCCGTTGGTTTACAATTTCTGGTAACCCTTTCACGCTTTGATTCTTACTAGTTTTCTTAATATAATCAAAATTTACATGGCTAAATCTCCGATGCCATAGCATCGCACCGTCTACTTTATTTAACTTTCCAATTTCTGTACCGTAACCAGCTTCCTTTTTATCTGTTGCATATCTAAATGGTCTAAACGTGATAAAGTCCGTCATATCGTTTAGCATAGCATAATCTATCCCAATTATTAAAGTATACCCACATCGTACCTTTTGAAATCACAAAATGAGCACCTGCTTTTTCTAACCTTGCTCCTGATAGTAAACCTTAGATTTGGATTATATAACACATTATCTAACTCAATCCAATTTATTCGACTGCCTACTTTTACTGCAAATTTGATGGTACCCTTTCCTATTACTTTACTTTCACAATTTCCTATAGCTAAAGACATACGTATATCATTTATTTCTTCAAAATTTGTCATTAAATTTCTATTATTACAGAAATGAGTTGTAGTTGCAGTATCTACAACCCAATTAAATTTATCTGCCTTACCTCCTTTATCTGTAGTTGCTACATAATTTTCTATTAACATTAATTCTTTATCTTTAAACTGTCCATTTTTATCATCTATTTTAAACTTCTGATTTATACTTACATTTTCTTTACATTAAGCGATTAAGTGTCAAAATTTATGACATCTGAAACAAGGTCCTATTCTCATATTCCCCATTTTTTTCTTCGATTTAGTTTTATTTTCAACTCTATCTTTCCCTGCATTTCAACTTATAGTATTAAACACGCTTACCTTGCTGTCTTCTAAATCAGCATTTACCTGGCGAAGTCGGCTTTCTTCCTTTACCAGTTCTTCAGCAATTCTTTCCAGCGTAAAATCTTCATCCTTCCACCTATAGATCAATGTACAATGCCGGAGTATTCCTGGGGTAATCTCCTTATTGCCTGAAATCCTTTAAAAAGATCTGCTAAGTTGTTACCAGCTTCAGCCAACTTCTTTGCAGTCATTCTCATCCTCGTGATGAATAATCCCATTTCTTCATTTGGCATATATCTAATACTAAATTCATCTACTAACTGAATTATCCTTGGTCTTGTTTTGGGTTCGAATTGCTTCTGTAGAACTTCCCATGCTTCTTTACCAGTTGAACATTCTTGTATCAGCAGCCTGAACTCAGTTTTAATTCCATAATATAATGTAGTGAAGGCTCTATTCTCTCTCAGTGTGAATTCCTGCTTTTCACGCCTTGTTGCACTTTTATCTAATTTTTCTTCTTTGTCCTCTATGAAGCTCCAACAATTTCTATCCAGTAATAGCATTTTCATATCGACTTTCCATCGATCCCAGTTGTCAGGTAGTAATGACATCTTCAATTGAATACAACAACTTGAGCAAACTTCTAAGACAGGTCAGCTTCTTTTCATGGATAACGGCCCTCTTCACCTACATTCCTTCAATGCTGAGTTGAACTGGATGACTGAATAGTTGTTGGCGCTGGGCCCATAACCCTGTTGGCAGTGGTGATAAAGGCAAAGCATATTTTGCTTCCCTTCAATAAAGCTAAGACTAATCTAAATAAAATTCATGCTTTATTCTGTAAATTAAAATAAAGTAAGTTAACGCTGTAGCCTTTACATTTAAAACCATTTGAGTGAAAGAAAACTAGCATAATGCTAGCTCATAATACCAAGACATTCGCCGATACCAGTATACCTATGTATAATACTCGGCCAACCCACCGATCTTGACATCATCGGCCAATCAACTGCAACCACGTTAGCTTACCGCCGATTGACCTCCGATCAAAATTTGCATAAGGAAAACTTAAAGACAACAATGATAAGCAGTAAACGGGTCATTTTGGTGTTGGCGACAATTTTCAAAATCTTGCCAACACCTTACGGTATGCTAGGAGTTTACCGTAAAAGCTTTTTTAAACTTTATATATATATATGCCTTATTTGCCATTGTAAAATAAAAAAATAGTAATCAGTCATCTAGGCTAACCATGTAATATAACGATACTCACTAAAATATCATTGATTATTCTAATTCAATTTTTAAGTTATTATCTTTATTTTTATGTTATCATATCATTTAATGTTGCTTCTTCCCTGTAAATTTATTTATTATTGGTAAATAATACTTCCAAATTTCAAGAAATTTTCGCTGGCATAATCCTGAAATTAATTCTAGCAGTATGATGACATACCATCATAAAATTTAATGCACATATTTTTTGCTTGTGTATTCTGCGAAATAAATGTAAAATACCTGAATTTATTTTAAAAATATCATTAAATAGATGTCTTTCTTTCGTTTAGCTACAAAATGCCTGCAAATAAAAGCCTTCTTTTATTCCAGATTGGGCAGATTCTAATCTCAATCTTCAGTGGAAAAAAACAGCTCCTATTGTAATTATAATAATAATGCTTTTATAATAATAATGTTTTCAAGTAATACCATAATTAATTTACTGCTTAGCACAGCCAACATGCATTACACAGTTAGACTGGAATTTTCTTAAAACACACCTGGAAAAGTCAGAGAATTTCATTTTCCTGTTTGAGTGGCAACCCTGTGAGTGGTGATTGACTTATAATTAAAGCATAGTCAGGCTTAGAACATACCATCACAGAGGATGAAAACTGACAGAGAATGTAGGAAAACCTACAGAAACTGTGGTAACTACTCAGACAAAGAATTGACAATTGCATACATTTTTAATTGTCTGGCTATCCTTGCTGAATTGTTAAAAATTAAGATTTTTTTTATGAGACCGAACCTCTATGATGATAATATTTTGTGGATTACCAGTGCAGTCAACTTTGCCCATGGCACTATATAAATAGGTTTTATCATAAACACAACAACCTTGTGTTTGCCATAGATTTTAATCAAGACTGTACTGATTTTGAGGACTAACAGGTGCAGGTCCCTCTTCATCAGGAGCAAAGAAATAATTAAAAGTTTATGCTTATGAGAAATAAAATAACATAAAAGTCTGACTACTAAGAGAAAAATTGACAGGGCTATTTAATTACAAAATTTTGTATTTTTGCCGTTGTTTTCAGCTTTCCTTAGGAGGTCAGTTAAAAAGTAAATTATATAACATGATTTGCTGATCTAATTTTGGGTAATGTTGAGAGTTTAAAAACTTGACTGCCTGCCAACGGAGCAAACTTGCGGCAAGTTAAACGTAGATTTTAGTGGGGACTTTCCTTGAGCTTAACAAAGCAGATGAACAGGATATGCCAACTTACGACATACGATGAAAAACATATTATGAAGGTGAAGGTGAGTAACAGATGCTTAACTTAACAGCTGTGTCAGCAGGTACTTGGCTATACATACAATACTTCATATTCCATACAATACTTCATATAAATGCTATCTGGGACATATGGCTAGATTCTTATCAGTGGCACAGCATTCAAGGGGCTCCAAATTGATGCTACGAAATTTTTTAATGAAATGTTTTCCATTCTTGGCACACAGAAAAGGGCACAAATTCTTCAATTGGCCCCAGGCGCTGGAAACTCTAGCTATGCCCCTGATTCCTATTTCCATTCTAATCTTCGACTGCTATTTTTCATGTCAGGATTTCATACATCAAATCACTAGATGACGCTGGTGGGAATTGGTTATTAGCCACGTCAATAACCTGGATAGGTGTGTTGGAAGGACATACACATTTTATGGTTACATAATGTTGAACTTTTTGCTTCTTCAGCACTCTGCAACCGCAAAGAAGAATGAAAATTTCTCAATAAGATTCATCTTTTTTAATCCCCTTTAATGTTGTTTGATGATACTTCTTTGTGATGTACTAGTGTGTAACATTTTTAAATTTTTACTTTGGTTATATTTAGGATCCCAGAAGCATTCTTACACAAGTAGTTTGAAATTTTTAAATGTGAAAAATGTATAAATAATATTCACATATTACATTAAGACTTTAATCTAATCTTAAAAAAAAAAGAAAAGAAAGTGGAAAAAACTAAACATATATTTCCTTTTAATTTATGCAGATAATGTTATGAATTGGTTATTGAAGCTTGCCGCTGTTTTCTAAGACATAAGTTCTACTAGATTCTGCGAATAAAATCTTATTTTCTTTGGGGGGAATTAATTGATCAAAACATTTCATAACAGTCTGCATAGGAATACTGGTCATTTAATTTGTATCCTCAGAAACTTTTTTTTTTTTTAAACTAACATTCTATTTCCAATTATGCATAGATTTAAATATGTTGTTACATATGACTGAAGGATCATTCCAAACATAAAACAGCTCAAGTATCACACAAGAACAATGATATATAATAAAAAAGAACAAGCGTTTAAAGTAAGAACCAGAACAAATGAATATGGGAACAAAAGTAAAAAGTTAAAAATTTAAACAAAAATGAAAGGAACATAAGAGATGTCTTTACATAATTAAAAGTAATAATTAAAATAATAAATTTATAAAAATTCATAAATTCATAAAAGGTCATTCATTAAATTCATAAAAGCTCTGCCTTTCCAGTATAATTTGCTTATCTTATAAATTATTTCTCCTGCTTTCCTAGCAGTTTATTTTTTACCAGCTATATAGAATATTATATAGCCGTGCTGTTATTCCAGAGGCGGTGCTAATTTTGCATCTCTTCTGCTTCCAAAAATTACCTAATATCTCTACAATCTCACCATGTTTCTGAGACTCTTTATCTAGTTTTGGGCATATAAAAAGATTCTCTGTATTCATGATGCCTGAATTACAAATTTGGCATATATAAGATGGAAGGATGCTGATTTTATTAAGGTGATGTGCCATGCAATTGTGGCCTGTTTGCAGTCTGAAGTTTGCCACAGCCTCTTTGTGGGGTTTTTGACAAAACTTTTTCTGAGTGTCTTCAATATTAGCCCAGGATTTACCTGGTCAGATTTATGAGTATCCATTTTTCTCTCAAAAATATGCTTTTTAAGTGACTCTGGAGGAAGTGGTTTGCTGTCCTGTGGCTGAAGTGTTTCTGTCTTGGCCAGTGAGTCTGTCTTTTCGTTACCGTTGATACCTACACGTGAAGGGGTCCATTGAAAAGTGATTTTTTTTTTGTTTTTGTTTTTGTAAAAAAAGTTCGAGGTTTGTCTTATTTTATTTCTGGGTATCTGTGTCATGGTTTATAACTACTGCCTGGATGACTGCTTTGAAATCGGCTAGAGTAACTGCTTTAGAGAAACAGTTGATCTTTATCTTGAGGTTTTCCAGAGCTAATGAGATTGCAAGGATCTCTTCATCAAAATTCGACTTAATGTGTTCCACAGGAGTACATTGGGAAAAGAGCTTACTGTATACACCAGCCGCAGTATTGTCTTGTATTTTAGAGCTATCAGTGTATACTCTAGTCCATTCAGGTTCAGGGTTATTGTTCATGTAACATATTTAATGTGTTTGCTTTTAATATTGTATCAGAAATGTTTTTCTTTCTTAAGTCATTAAATATCTAGCTGGTATTTGATATCAGTATATTCAAGGGTTAACCATGATCTTGTTAGAATTCAGCCTTGACCTTGTTCAATTTAAATATTTGATTCTTTATTTTGTATCCCCTGTGTTTAAAAATGTGCTCTCAAACTTGAAATATCTTGGTCAGTTTTCATCATAGGAGAGTCAAACTTTTCGTCTTTTATTTTTTAAGAATGGGTAGAAATTTTTACTGTCTATAATAACATAAAGTCAGAGGACACCATAAAAGGAATTATACAGAAATATAAAAATTAATTACAAGCCTAATGGCATTTGTAATTAATTTATGAATTAATAATGTAATAATTTTTACAAAATATTTACTCTGAAAATTTGCAGTTTTTACAAAATTTTAAAATTAATTTTTTTTTAATTTTAAAATTTGGTATAATAAACATTTTCCTTATTTAAAGCATTTTTATTATTGGAAATGCATGTATATGACCAACCATTGTAGAAATTAAAGCTGTGTAAAGACTTTTATTGATACGCTAGTTGTAATGCTGCAATAAGATTGAATAAAAAGAGTTGTGCTTTTCAAAAGATCCAATATCATTCTAAACCTTAGCAGTGAGATTCTGTGAATTTATACATATAAGAGAAAAGAGGATGCAGCATAATCTGCAAACAAACAATAGTAATTTAAATATAGCTGTGTAATTATTTCAAACTTCCTGTATAGCTGGGTATGTTCTGTTTATTCTTCCCAACCATTTCAGGTGTTAAATACATTTTAAATCTATATATTTTTCTATTTTGTTTACAGTGAAATGTAATGTAGATAAACTGAAACAAGAGATAGCTAGTCATTTATTGGATAAAAGAAAAGGAGAGAAATTAAGAAGTGGCGTATTTGCCGTATTAGTTGGAAGACCAAATGTTGGCAAAAGTAGTCTTCTGAATAATTTGTGTAAGTAACTTTGATTGATTTACCAGTTTTTTAATTATGAGATATTAATTATATTTACATCAAAACTGTAAAATTGAATGTTTTTGACATGTTGAAATTGTAAAATATCAATATTTATAAAAAATTTAAGCATATGTTTTCATGCCTGAGAGTATTTTAATCCAGGCTATTGACAAAATTAAAAATTTAAATTACTGCCTTCTCAGAATTGCTGCCAAATTATCTTCAAATGCTGCTGTAATGACTTCTAAAAAAATAAATAAATAAAAGAATACTAATCAAGTCTAAAAAAAAAAAAAAAAAAGAATACTAATCTTCTAAATAAAAAAAAAAGAATAGAATCTTAAAAACAAAATAAAACTTTCCATGTCACCACTCATTGCAAACTAAATATAATTTAAAACTCTGGTGTGCAGCATTATTCTTAAAAAAAAAAAAAAAACTGAGGTAGTTGTGAGAATATTAGTAAGGAAATTTTTTTTGCAAAATGCAGGCAATTCCCAGTTGATTATGGGCAGATTAATTTTGTTAAATTCATTTATTGAGCAATGTTGGAAGAATTATTATTATAAACTATCAGAATAAAGCAAAAATTTTAAGGGAAATGCAATAAACAAGAAAATATGTAGGACAACAGTAGTGATAACGGATGATGTCACAGTACTTACGAATCATTTTTATCCTTAACAATGTATAGTTTAATTGTACATAATCTGGAAAATATAAACACGCCTGGAAACATCTGGATAATACTAACACACATCGATTAAAAATAAATTTAAAACTAAATTAAATGTACTGCCATTTATCTTCTGCTTTCCATATTTTCTTACTGAAATGCAAGAGTAATACAAACAAGAATGTTACTCTTAGTGTTTTGAAGTATGTTCTTATGAGTGTGAAAATGCCTATCAACTGAAATTATTTATAGGAAAGCTGTGGCCGAATGGTGAAACAAAAGACAAAGAGGAACAGCTCTTCAACACTTGTGCTGTTCTTGCACAAGTGCTATGAAACTTGTGCTGTTCCTGAATTAATAAACAAAGCTTAAATTTTTTCAGTTAGTATACATATTCTCTGTAAATGTAAATCATTATGATAAAATGGTATTTGATAAATGGTATATTTTAGGTAAAAGAGAAATCGCTATAGTGTCTTCTACTGCTGGTACAACTCGAGATATCATTGAAACCTCTTTAAATCTTGGAGGATATCTAGTCAATATATCTGATACTGCAGGAATTAGGGAAACTTCCGATTCAGTAGAACAAGAAGGTGTAAAACGGACAAAAGAGAGGTAAGAATGAATTTTAATTGAAATTGAAAGTTATATGAAATACTAAATGAAAACAAATATAATAAATCACTATCTTTTATCATTTTTTTTCCCACTGTAAATATCTTATATCTGTTATAAGTGTTTAGAATAGGGTACCTATTGAGTTATTTTTGTGAATGCTGATTCTAGACATTGTTTCCTAATTTAAAGTGGCTGAGCTTTCCCAGAATTGATCAGATACAAGATAATTCTGAAGGCTTTCCAGAAAAAGCATTTGAAGCATAATATTATAATTTCTATCATTCAACAAAAAATTCTCATTCATTGATATATAGTGCATGTGTGTAAAATAAAAAAAAAAAAAAACATATAAATCAGAATTCTGACAAATCTGTAATTTTGTTTCAACTCTCCATCTTAGTTTTATTATGTTCCATGAATAATAACTGCTTAGAATAAATCGTTCTAAGCTACACCATTTTAAATTTAATGTTCCTGGCATGATTCTTACTTAGCACTCATCAAGCATATACCTGCATAACACTTCAGCCAATTTTGATTTTAAATGTGGGAACCAAAATTTAAAATTAACCAATGGGAACAAATTTGAACTGAAACTAAATCATTCTGCATCTAACTTTCATCTTAGATACATTACATTCCTGTTGTTGCATGCTGTGCTGCCAAGATGTTTGTCGCTTATTATATTGTTATAACAATGTAAAAATGTACACATGATCATGAGGGGTGTGTATGGTACCTTTCATGTGTCATGAATTGTTTTCTTCAGAAATAAAATGTGTTCAGTCAGTTGTGAATGCTACTTTATGTTTCACTCCATGCTTCATGAACTTTTAAATCGTCTTGAATAGTCAATCACTCAAAGCAACTATAGTCTAAAAGACTTTAATTGGTATTACTCTGTATTGTTTTTTTCAGAAAGCTCTTGATTTAGTAAATTCGGTGAAAACAGCATAAATTGAGAAGAGTGCAGATGCTGTAATTATAATATTTACTGTCAAAATAGTAAATTTATAAGTAAAATTAATGATAAGCAAATGAACAATAGACACTGCTTTATGTGATTGTATTTGTCCATTTTGATAATAAACTGATAATATTAAATAATGAAGAAAAAATTCTTGTAAAATAGCAGTGGAATTTAACTAAATATAACTAGAAACATATAAATAGGTACTTTCACAGCATTTTAATTAGGAAAAGGCAAAAATTTGTTTATGAGCTGTTCATAGTATCTTTTGCATTTAAATGTAAAAGTTAGTTAATGGACTATTAATAAGTAATGTTTTAGGAAATCATTTGACTAATTCATCCTATCTTTGTACTCAGTGGGCTTCCTTCCTTCACTGGAAGAGAAAGTGCCAAATGCAAAATTTAAAATTAAGCAAAAAAGCTACCTAATTTCAGAGATTTTAGAAAAGGGACCCATGCCTGATTGCCTTTAAAATTAATAGAGTTATTGAAAATCTACATCAAACTAAGGTGGCTTCTTTTGCCTTATTATAAAGAATGGTTCACTGAAATCAAAACCATGCTGTTTGACGGCTTATTATCTTCCTTGACGACATTTATAATCTGTTTTGATTTTATTTCCCAACTTCAGCTAGAAATGTTATTCAGTAATGCTTTGGTCATATTAACTCAATTGTAGATCACAGTAAGCTATGTATTTTCCATGTTTTCGTATACAAATGGCCACAACATCAGCAATTTGGTAACAGTAGTTGAAAGATATCATTAATGTGTATATTAAGTGAAGGTCTGCTGTAATAATGAAATGTTGCTGCAGCTGGAAACAATACCTAAAGGAAAACGGACATAACAGATTAAGAGAGCACTAACTGTCAAAATTCAATTTCCAAAGTACAATAATTTATTTCAAGATGCAGGATCAAAAAGTATATAAATATAATAATGCTATAAATAAGAATGACAGCAGAAATGTAATACGCCAGTTAGCATTTTGTTCTTCTTGAGATATAGTGTATGAGGATAATACTTGCTTATGCTTTATACATATTAGGTGTCTCTTTTTTGTAAAATGAACACAACTGAAGAGCAGCATTAGATGCAGAGTTTAAAATATTATTTATTCTCATTACACAAAAATACATTCAAAAATTTTTGGTCAGAAAATTCTTCTGGTAAACCATACTGGTAAAGAGATAATTTATTGAATAACTCGATAGCTTACCAAAATTTTTTACATTCCATGAATCATTTTCTTGCTTCTAGCAGTTTCACATCTTTTACACCTGTTAATATGTATAGATCAAATTCTAATGTAATATTTAAAGAGCTAAGTGTAAAAGTCATTACCAACATTAAAATGTCTTGTTGATCATACTGAACATTCAGTTGTTAGCAAAATCAAAATATATAAACACAGCAGTTTGCAGAAACTGAATTCCCCCCCCCCATAAACTTTGCAATTATTTTTTTAAATGTTAAGAGAACAAAATGATATGCAACTGTGTGAGGTGATTTACTGAAACATAATTAATTTTTAACAAATTAAATTACTTTTTGCCTTCTTTATGAAATTATTTGAAAATATGTTTCACATTACTAATTCGAATTATTGAGCACAATGGATGGCTTCATCGTGTTTATAGTCTTTTATGTTTTGACATGGTTTGTGTACTCAAAATGTACCATAATAAAAAATAAAAAATAAATAATTAAGTCGTTATTTAAAAAATTGTATACCTGCTTAAATGTCGATCTGTAGATGTGAAAGACCCTCCCCCCCCAAAAAAAAATTAGAGGTCAAAATCATTTCAGCTTCAGAAAAGGGAAACTGGTAAAGCATTGCCAGTCCTCCTCTCTTCTCCTACGCATTCACATAGTAAGAGAACACCTGTATATCCCTTTGGCATTTGTGGAAAAATAGGCAGATGGGCAATTCTTGGTATTTCAGCAGAATGTCAAGAAAGATGAAAAATTTAACATTGTTGGGAAAAGAATAAGATTATCAAGGAGTTTCAAAAATCAAATCAATCAAAACCTGTCTTTGCTAAAGCTTCTGGAACACCTCAAACATTGTTGAATGTCATCTTATCACCAAAAGACACCATAGCTCATGATAATAAGAAAAGAAAAGGATAACAGGTATTTCCATATGAAGAAATCGAGAAATTTCAAATCACTTGGATAAAGTATGCCCAGATACAATCTGATTTTTACTTTCATTTTGAAGGAAAAGCTCTTCAAATTGCTGTTGAACATCAAGGAAAAAACTTTGCTATTAGGTAATAGATGGTTGAAAAGGGTAAAGATAAAGCATGACTTAATTATTCAAAAACTCAAAGGGGAAGCATCTGAAATTGATCAAGAGGTCATTCTGGATTGTAAAAACATGCTGATAAAAGAAGTTGCAAACAATAAGGTCCAAATGATATTTTTAATATGAATTGTTTTGCAGAATCTTGCGTAACAAAACTTTTTTTTTTTCTTCCAAGAAGGAAGAATGCTTTGGAGGGAGGAGTGTGAGGAAAGACTGGCCATTTTGTTGGTATTCAACATGGATGGCAATAAGATGTTGAAATCTATTGCCACGGAGATATTCCCAAATCCCCAGTGTTTTAAAGATGTAAAATTTTTGCCAGTGAGCTATGATACCTACTCCAGAGCTTTTATGACTTCTGAAGTACAGGAAAGAAAATCAAGAATTTAGGCACACAATTTTCACAAACAGGTAAATAATTTAAGTTGTTAAAATAACTTAAGTTAAAAAATAAGAAATTAAGTTAAATAATTTAAGTTATTAACAACTACATAGCTCATCTAGAGTAAGTAATTTAGAAAACCATTAAAAAGTCTAAAGCTGTCATCAGATGTGACTAGTGTATTGCAATGTTATGGACTAAAGGATTAAAATCAGATTACTGACTTAATAAAGGACGGAAATCAGAAACATACATAGTGAAAAGTCGAACCATGATTTCTACCAAAACTATACACACTTGCTCTAGACATGCATGTTTCAAAATAAATTCTTCAGAAGCCACACCCGAAGGAAGTGAGATTGAAGATTATATCCTTTTATCAGACTTAAGTTATGAACTGAAAACTTGATTTAGAATTTGATTTGAATGAATATGTATCTGCAGACAGTAAAGTAATCATGAGCTCTAGAGAAGTTTCAATGCCAAATATTGCTTCCAAAATAAAAAAAATTAAGCTATCCTGAATCCACTAATGACAATAATGATGAACTGGATTTGGTGCTGACTTATAAAGATTCTATAACTGCAATAAATACTGTTAACGTTTTTTAATTTCTTGCAAAAGAATAGATTACAAAGACTTAGTAATTGTGATAAAGACTGTGAGAAGTAACAAACCAGTATTAAAACAAGGATCCCTTAAAGATTTTTGCAAATAGAACAATAATTTTTTAGTTTACTTCTTGATCTTTATAATGAAATTAATTTTATAATGAAATAATTTGATTTTTTTCTTTTACGTTTGCTACTTTTTTTTTAATTGGAAATATTATTTTTTTGTATAAAAAATCAACTGGTTTTAAACTTTTACAGCTATCAGAATTTTACGGTATTTAATTAGGTAGCACATAACAAGCAAGTTTGTTTTATAAAAAATACAGATTATGAATTTGATTATTTTTTTATAAGTCCATCCTTTTGGTTATATATTCCCATCTTTTAAAATAAATTTTGATTGAATGTTGTTAACCCATTAGCCGCTGGTGTTGCGTTGACGCAACGGTCAAAATAAATGCGTATATAAATATAACTACCTAAGATATTTTATACCAGCAGATGATTTTGTGTAGGGAATATTATTTCTGTAAAAAAATATTTGCCTTCAACAATCATTTTCTTTATAATAATTAATATCATACTTTAAGCAAAATTTTCGACCGGGTATTTTTGCTGAAAATATTTAACGAAAGAATCGCCGTCCGTATGAGTGATCTATTTTTAGTCAAAGTCACCGTTTATCAGAACATTACATCAGTAAGATGTTTATATTTGTATTGGAAAGCAAGTGAAAACAGGTGTTGCGCTGATGCAACATCAGCAGGAAACGGGTAGTCAATCTCCTTTTTCACTCATTCCTTTCGATGTCCTGGTTCATGTTCTGGTTGTTTAAAAATACCTAGAACGAGGTATCTTACATTAGAAGAAGCCCTTCAAAGATTTTTTGATGAAGAAACAGAGGATGATAATGTTTAATAAGTGACCAGAATGAAACTGATAGTGTTGTTGTTCCCCCAGAAATTGCAGAAGAAACTAGTGATGAAGAAGAAAGGGAATGGCAACGTTTTAAATAATGATAATGATATTTTACCAAATGATTTTACAAAATGATACTGCTAGGGAAGTTGAAATTCCATGTAAGAAGTAAGTTTCAGCCTTCTAAAAGCAGTGGTAGTCATACAAAAAGTTTAAAAAGCAGAAAACTGAAAATCTTGAAATGGATAAAAAAGGAACTGTTAGTTATGTCTCAGGAAGAAACATGAATGAAGAAAGAGATAGAAGAGAAACTATAAAAGACAAAACTACAAGGTAAAACTAGTGGCACAGATTTTCGATTTTCTTTTTAGTTTAGACATTTACTCTCTTCTCGTTGAACAGACAAATATATACGCTCAAGCAAAAAAAAAAAAAAAAAAAAAAAGAGAAAGCCCAGAATTTATTGCATCTGAAGCCTATATGAGAAGATTTATAATGGAATATTATTGCTTACAGGGATATCATTCTTTACCTCAAGAAAAAATGTATATTGGTCTTTTGATAAGGACATTTCTGTTCCTGTTGTACGAGAATCGATATCACGTTTGCAGTACAGGAATATGAAGCAGAATTTGCATTTGACAATAGTCAAATTGACAATAGTGATAAATTATATGAGGTGAGACCGTATCTAAACTTACTAAATATCACCACTTTTTACTACTGGAAATATAAAGTCTCTTTTAGATTTCGGACGCAAGAATGCATTATTCCTTTTGCAAATTCCTATTGAGAGTGTAGAATTAGCCAGAAATAGATCAGCAACAGGAAGACCTAGTAAATTCAGCATTCAAAAACCATTCCATGGAGATGGTAGACATTTTATCGTAAAGTCCGTTGATAACAAAAGACTTTGTTGTAAAGAGTACCATAGCCAGACTGTTTATAGATGCAAAGTATGCAATGTAGCTTTACATCATGATTGTAATCAAGCTTTTCATGCTTGAATCTTTCAATAGAAATCATCTGTATTTGTAAAAGAAATACAATGTATATTTTAATATTAAATTAATTACAAGTAAAGTGATTTGTAGATTTATAAAACGTTATACAGCTAAAAAGTAGTCCTGCACTTCACTCAAAAGAAACATCACACGAGTACAATCCTACTCACTAAACATCCGTAGTTTTATTCCGCTGACGTTGCGTGAATGCAACACTCGCGTTTTCCACAGATAAGAGCATTTTTTTTTTGATTTTCAATGTAAATTTATGTTATAAATGCTTAATTTAATATTTGTTATTATTTTCATGAGAAAAGAAACATTCCTTGTAGTTTTGGCAGTTAATGGGTTAATATGTGTAAAGAATTAATTTTACTACAACTTTTTATGAGTTATGAGTTCCAGAAATGTACCTTGTAAATAATTTGGTTATATTCCGCAGATTCTGCTTTTAGACAGATAGATATTCTGCTCATATGGGATTGGATCAAAATCATTTGCTCAATGAACTGAATCAGTTCTTTATTATGAACCACTGCTCATTAACAATAACCGTGATGAAAAACATCAAGAATGAGACATGGTCAGCAGGAATGGAGCAAAGAGTGGAAAAAATCAAACAAGCAGTAGAATCGGGAACAGTTAGTGAAGTTGGAGAGAAGAGTGAAAAAATTTGAATGACCAGGGGGATCGGAAGAATCAACTCAATCAAACACTAACTCCTCTAATTGATATGCTTCAATTTTAGCTTTCAATTTCAACTGTAAAACACAGAACAGGAATTCTCAATTGGGGGGTGGATTTCATATTTGAGAGGAATATTCTCAGTCTGTATTTACCATTTAAGTATATAGTTTTAGTTTATGAACCTAAAAATCTGCTTTTATTTAAGTTTTGGTATTTATCAACATTTTCCATACTTTTCTTGTTTAATTTACAAAACACATAAAACATAATCTGTATTTAAATAAATGTATATTTATTATAGAACAAATAATAAAATTCTAGAATAAAAATGTTTTTAAAGTTTGGGAAATAATAGAAATTAAATTCATTCTTAGCATGGGAAAATAAACATTCTTTCGTCCTTAAAATGGGAATTAAAATTTCCTAACATGCTTCTAACAAGAGCTCTCGATGGGTAAATTCTAAAATATCACTGCTCTTCTTTGAATCAGAGATTCACTAGCTCAATAAAGTGAATCAGTTTCTGAATAAATACCACATCTCTATTCTTGGCATGCTTCCAACAAGAGTTCTCTGTGAACTCTTAGGAGAGCTACCCTTCTGTTTTGTCGAATTGCTATTCATTTGCTCAATAAAGTAAATCAGTTCTGGAGAAAATTGTCCAACTCGAACTGCAAGGAAGCTTGTTTATTGGTTAATGAATAAGGATAATTTATCAATGTTCACTGACTCTGATGTATATAATATTTGATGTTTTATTTCTGTTTTGCAATACCTTATTTTAAGTACCAAGTTTAAAATGAACTCTAAACTTTGTAAATTTTCATTTAACGTATGTATAATTCACAGTTCTTATTTTAGATTCATATTATTATGATATGTAAAATAATGTAATTAAGTTTCAGCTTTTCTTTTACAATAGGTCACGAAAAGCTGACATATTGATTTTTGTGATGGAATCGAAACAAGTTCTCAAACTTATGGATTCATACTCTTTGAAAGAAACTGATATTTTGACATACTTATTACGTGTGGAGCTAGGAGAAGACTTTTTCAATGATTTAAAGAATTTACAAAACAGCTCAGATGAAAATGAGTGTTCAACTCATATAGGAATGAATGTTATCCTTCTTCTCAACAAGATAGACCTTTTATCCCCTGAAGAATTTCAAAGAATCTCCCATTTAGAAAATTCCAATCCTGCCATTTGTGCTATTTCTAGTACTGAAGGAATGGGGATGGGCAGGTTTGTAGACCATTTCTCCAGAAATGTCCAGGAAATGTAAGTAAATAATAACTCTCAATAATCTAAGCATTTATATTCAAACTGCACTGGGAAAGTCAAAAAGTAAACATAATATAATGATAAAAAATCAAAATTATACTATAAATCATTTTACTGTATGCTTTCCACCAATATAGAGACTGTCACCCTTAATATATAATGATAAAATGTCAAAATGATATTGCTTATGGTTACGCCGCAGGTATTCTTTGCCTTCCATCTATACATATATAGATTGTAGTATTAAAAAGATTGCAATATTAAAAAATAAAAATGTTGTAGATAGTTATTGTATGGATATGAAATCTCGTCGATCAGTACGACTTTAGTTGTTATTCTGCTGCAGAACATAGTTTTACAGAGAAGTTTAACTAAATTGCAACTTACTAAGTGATTTTAGGAACAGATGATAATTCTCATGCATTAAGTAAAAACTGCTTAATATCCATGTTTTCCTTGAGATATTTGAAGTTATTTACTGTGTTGTGTTTAGTTAATATCTTAAGATAGAAGGGGAAAAAACCTCTTCTCTTCTGTCCTCCTGCAATGTGAAAGGAGTGGCTAAATTTTTTCCTGTCTACAGTGTGGTGTACCCATCACATGAGGTGGAAGTGTGTTCAAGTGTGCTCTTTAGTATTAAACTTTGCTAAATTTATTATTGTGGCTAAGGCATTATTATTAGCATTTAACAATGTTTATACTTGAAACATTGTATACTTTATGTCTTATATAACTGCTAGACACCCATTAAGAAAAATAAACTCTTTTAATAAATCAAAATATATACATAGTGTTAGGATAATAGAAATCTCAATGATGAATACAGTGTCTACACGAACTCGTAAAAACAGAAGGGAAGAGTTCTTTTTTGCAGTCACGCAGAGATGAGCGTGATAAGAATCTCATCTTGAGGAGGAGAACTCGAGGTGCTGAAGAAATGTGAGGGGAAAGGTAACCCCACACTATCTCCCTTCCTGGAAAAAATGTGCTAAAAGTCTGAAAAAGAGGGAAAAAATTAGTCTTGTATAAATTGTTTTGGAAAGTGAACATGTCATGAACAAGTTTGGTAATTTCCTTTTCCAGGTGACTGTTCGTTTACTCGACAGGCTGGTTGCTGTGATGAAGCTTTCTCCATGTTAGTTAAACTAGGAGGTTCAGATACATCATCTGAGACTAAATAAGCAAGTTTTATCCTGTCGATACACAGTGATATCATGTTCTTTTTCAGACATGGTTAAAGTTTTATTGAGGCCTGGTGGCGCAGTGGCTAGCGCAGCAGTGCCCAACCTTTGACCTATTGCGAGCACATTTCCAAAACATCAACATTTTTGTTTCCAAAACAACAAACATATTTCCAATCTTATGTGATACATCTGAAATATTAATTTCGGCAAATGGGTTTGAGATGAATAACAATATTGGTTAAACTTTATGGGAAATCAGAGAAGCGGAGTTAAAAATTATTTTTCAGTGCATTTAGGTTTTGCAAGTATTTCTCTGTTTCAATTGCCTTGTGGTTATTAGTATGGCTTGATAAATTCTGAAAATGGGTGAAATTTTTTTCTTTTATCTAATTTATTTACAAATTTAACTTTATCTGAAAAGCAGTTACAGTCCCAGTCAATTGAAAAAGGGTTTTTTCTTTTCCCTGGAGATCTTCGTTCCGTTTAGCTGTTATATCCATGATAAAATACAGATTGGATAACCAATTATTATTGTCCAATTCTTTATAACTTTCGTTTCCAGATTCCAAAAACTGCTTTGTTGGCAAATAAGTTCTACAAGTCGTTGAAGCACATTTTCCCTGCTGAGCCATCTAACATCAGAATGAAGCAATCAGATTCCATACGCGCTATCAAGTTCATCAGTCAGCAATCAATTATTTTGTATCGTCTTGCAAGATATCTCTTATGACAATAAATGCTTACGATATTTTAACAATTAAGAAATATAAATGAATGATTATTTTTAAAATATTTTTTGTTCATTTTACCTAATCTGGTTGGCGAGCACATACAAAATGATCGGTGAGCGCAAGGTTGGGCACCACTGGGCTAGCGTATCACGCAGCAGCACCGTAGGTCCGGGGTTTAAATACTAAAGGTATTTCAACATCCACTCATCGGAGGATAAAGAGGTAAAATTATGTATATGTGTGAACTGTTTCAGAGATTTGTGGAAGGTATTTGCTGACAGAAATTCAGGAGTTTTCTTGTCAAATTTGGGCACTATTGATGCATTTCCATTGACTAGGTAACTTTATAATAATTGATGAATTGTTTTCAATCGGACTTTGTGAAACCTCTGGTTGTAAAATTATACTATAGTTACTTTCTGGCTTATCCTTACACTGCATGTTTTCATAGTTCCAGTGCTTCAAGTTTATGAAGTTTATGCATAGATGTTTTACAATATTGAATTTTAATCAACCAATGTAGAATGTGTTATAATGTTTAATAATCGATGTTTTGATAAAGTGATTTGTAAAAGTAAAAACAATTTTTTTCTAAAAAATATACTCTTATGTTAGATTGAAGCTGCATTTAGAAATACTTTCTAAATCTGTGAAGTGGGAAAAAAAAAAAAAAAAAAGAGTTTCTGGAAATCATATTTTAGCATCATTCACCATTCATCCATCAGATATTTCAAAAAAGTAATAAATATGATACAAATTGCTAATACACATGTTAAACTTTCAGTTGGTGATATGTGTTGTTAAAAATACTGGCACACAATGCCTTCAAGGTTTTATATAGCCAAACTATTGAATAAAATGAACAAACCTGTAGGTCTCATTCAGTTAACTATATATTTAATATTATTTTATACTGTTATTGTGAATCTCTGAAGGGATGAAAATCAGATATGACAAAGTGTTTGGATATCTTCGTTTTTTTTTTATTTTTATTATTATTTATTTATTTATTATTTTTCATATTTTTTCCAGAATTTTAACTAGTTTTAAAGAAAATATTACTAATCCTTAAAATCATCAACCTTTAGTATGTTAGGATTCTCATTACACCCATAAAGGAAAACACCTGTACATTACTTTTCTTTTGTCATACCCCTACTTTTCTCTGTGTTCTAAACAAAGGCTCTGCAATACAGATTTAAACCCAGTTAAATATATAAAAATGAGGACACAATAAGCATATCTTAGGATACCGTATAAATGTATGTGACCATTAAACCTAGAATGGTAATAGATTCTTTGACTGAGCTTTCAAACAGAATTCTATTTAAGTCTGGTGCTGTAATGGAAATTTTCGATATACAGGGAAAGAGAAAGTAGTGAATAATATGAGCTTGCAGCTATAGCATTGACATATCTTTAGTGATTGAAATTTTATCCTTTTGTCAGTTTGCTTCATTTGAGTATAAATGCTCTCCAAACGCTCTCATTTTGCATTTTTCAAGTCATTTGCAGGAATAGGATATTCTTTATAATGGTTATGGAATTGTGCTTTGCAACCACACATATTTTGGAGAAATGATTGCATTCTCACTGGATATTAAATAAGGCACAATGGTGGAAAAGTTATCTTCCTTTTGCACTCCTTCCATAAAAATAAAAATCTCACATATTCTTTAAACTTTGCGCTCTGACAAAAATTTGTGTAAAAAATTTATCCTCGTGAAGAGCTGTAAATGTAAAGCTGAATGTTGAAGATGAGGTAAACATTATTCCAAAAATAGAATATGCAACCATATCAATATCTGCTGGGAATACAGTTTATACATACTATATACCAAGTGGAAAAATTGAAACTCGATGTGTAATCCTTTTTCCTTGTTGGATCAGATATAGCTAATTAAACTGTCATTCCTTGAAGTTCATTATTGCAATTGAATGACTGAAATATCAGACATAATAGCTGCAATACGCACTTATAGTATACCACAAATGCAGAGAAATATACCCAACTTACTTCTGAGTTATAAATAAAATATATATATATATATATGGAGTTGCCAATAAAATAATTAATAAAATGAAATTTTAATTAAATGCACTAAAAACTTTTTCAGCTGCCTCAACATTTTCATAATAAATTTCGTAATAATTATTTGTTCTTGAGGAATATATCCTGCATTGTTTTAAACTACTTTATGACTTTTTCTCCTGGTACTATCAGACCAAACAATACTGCATACCTTTACGAAATTAAAAAATATAAAACTATTATTTTCATAGATCAGAGGTATTTTATTTTCATTGATTAAGTAGCCAGAAATGCAGAATCTTCTAAATGCACAGATAAAATATCAGTTTCCAATGGATTTGATATTCTGTGTCTTTTAACCTATTGTGACATTTATTTTGTCTATCTGGAATTTTTTTATTTTGTATATCTGGAACTGTTTGATTAACTACTACTGCATTGAAGTTCATAAAATTTGGAAGGAAGACATTCTACTTCCATTCACCATATCCATTTTATTAAAATCACTGAAACATTTTTTTCTTAAGTAATTTTCATCCAAAATACTTTCATGAAATTTGAAAAGGTGTATGGTCTCGCCTTCCAGTCTTCACTCATTTGTCCCTGAATTAAATGACATTATTATTGTGATGGTTGATGTCTACTACTTTATTTTGGTAGAGTTGCAGTCTTCTCATAAACCTCATCAATTTTCATGAAATTTGGTGTTGTGCTTGCCAGGAGCATACTGAAAGAGGATGGGGTGGCATATCGCCCTGGGCTTTTGATTGGGAGAAGAAGTTAGGTTACGTGCAAAGAACTAAGTTTTCAAGTGTATGTTGCTCAGTTCCACCCTACAAATTTGATGGGGAGCACCCCAAGAGGCTCCCACTGCTTTTCTCTTACCACCAGCTTCTTGAGAGGACTTTCGGCTCACTGTAAATTTAGAATCCCCTATGCCACACAGACACTATACATTTACAAACATCCATGCCTTCTCCAGGATTCGAACCCACAGTCAGTCACTAACCACTATCCTGCTTTGGGCAGCAAAGACTTTTTTGGCAGTGTATGTTTCAGTTGCTTCTTGTGAAAGAAGTTTTTTGATAAAAAGTTGAGTTAATTAAAAGCTATCTTCGATCAACAATGAAACAAGTAAAACTCATTGGTTTGGCAGTCCTTTCCAATGAAAATTCAGTAGCTAAAAACATTTCTTTCAATTGAGCTATAAAAAATGTTTCAGAAGTTAAAGCTCGGGGGGGGGAGGCTTTTTTTTTTAATTGACAGAAAGTTAAAATTTTTTTAATAACCAAAAATGGCAGATTAAGAAGTTTTTTTTTAAATCTCCGTGTGTCTGCTAGATGCAGATTCTGCCCCCCCCCCAATCTTAAAATTTGTTTTCCAAATCATTTTAACTATTTAATTTTAATTAAATAAATGCTAATTATATATTTATGTTTACATTTTGTATGGTGATCCTTCCAGTAAGAGGGACTCCAGGGAGATTTCCATCCTGGGCCTCAATAGCTGTAGGCTTGCCTGTGGTCCTTTTGAAGTTTACTAAAATCATTCTAGCCATTTCAGGAAAAATTAGGCACTTGTGAAAATTGCAACTATTGACTTGGCACTTTAAAAAAATTTCACTGTTTATTTTGCTAAGAATGAAATGGTTTCATTTTGCAGTAAGCTGCAACTACTTCCAAATTATTACAAAATTAATTAGACAATTTTGGAGAAAATTTTATATTTAAGAAAATTATAAATACAGAAATAAATCCAAGATTCAGACTTCCACAATTCTGGATTTTTCTGAATAGTCGTGATTAATGAAATAATGAAGCATTTATGCCCTTAATGAAAGTTTACCCCCCAAAAAAGGCTCAATATTTATTTTTTTCTTTTATTAAACATTTATTTTCTATAAAAGTTGTTGAATTTTTTCTAATACTTTCTCTTTATTTCTTTAGACAGAAATAATTTCTCATTACAAATTTGTATTTTTGAAGTCCTGTAATTACTGTATCGAGATCGAGAATTCCTACTAAATTGTTAACCAAAAATTTTTTGCTTTCTACAAACTGTTAGTTTTTTCACTATGGTTATGTTATGTAATATTTTCTAGATTTAGAAGCATACTACAGCTTTCACTACAGATTAGTTTATTGATGATTGAGACATTGTCATCGCAATGAAAAACTTCTGTTACATGATCTTTATTACTGTTTCTCCAGATTTCTTGCAAATTCCATTAATTAGAAAATTTTCCATTTTGTTTGCAGAAAACCATTAAAATCATAACAATCCACAATTATTAACACAATTATGAAAGATAGCTGGTACTACTATTGGTGACTAAAGACCTGTTGTTCCACTAAATGTACTAATTCACCAATAGTCACCAATAGTGGTACTAGCTTAGTACCACTTATTGGTGACTAAAGACCTGTTGTTCCACTACATCTTGCTTTTATCACAAGCTGACAAAGCTAATTAATTAGTTATATTTAATTATATTAATTTGGATATTTATTATACTAATGATTATACGCTGTACATGCTTTATCTGAGTCTCAAATAAATAAATTTCAACAAATACTTAAGGCTTATCCATGGTGGGCAGTAGACATGCTACTAAGTGTCTCCCTGAATTCTAAAAAAATTTTCCATCCCTTAATTTTAATGCTTGGTGCTTCTCTAAATTCTGCTGCACCAATTCTGGCACCATGGGCTTAACTGAATAAATAAAATCAGTTATTCTCAATTTAAACAGTACTAAATGCAATCTTTTGGCCTATGAGTATCATTTACAAAAATCTCCCCCCCCCCCCACATACACACACCCTCCATATGGAAAGCAATTTTTGTTAAATTTCTCCTCAGCACACTCCACTTTGTAATGGAATTCAGCTGAAATTTGAAATCAAGATTTCCATGTTGATTTGTATTTAATTATAAATGTTAAATTTAAAAAAAAAAAAAAAAATTGTGTAAACATTGCTAACATCATTTCTTAAGTTACAGTATGTTGATAATCATGTGGTGACGAAAGAAAAAATAATTAATGATGATTGCACTTCCACACTGACTTCAGGTAATCATGGAGTGATGATTACCTTAGTCCCCCCCAAAAAAATCACTCAAGTAAGATTTGGATAATTTAAAGTTTGGTATAGCATTATTATAAAATCTTTAAAAAATTGAAATTGTCAATTTTATCAATTGCATAAAATAAAAGTTCATGTTCATGTTGATTAACTCCCAACTCTTTTCTTACATGGAGCCCTTTTAAAAGAATTATATCATTATAGCACTTCAGACGTTCTATGAACCATGCTGACATATTAAAATTTTAATGTCTAAATTGAAATTTTTTTAAAATTTATATAGATTATTAATTTTTGTAATCAATGGGATCTTCACTATGCTGATCAGTTAGCCAGTGCATAATCAGCTATCGATTCCTATAATCACTGATTGTAAGGGAATAAATATTGGGAATCCCTGATTTAGATATCATATCATCATTTTAAAAGTTGAATGCAAAAGTTGAATCATCACTTATATATGAAATTGGCATATTTACTTTTATAATTTTCTAATTACTTTACTTTTAGATGTTGTGGACATAGAGGTGAGGAGCCAACTATAACTCAGGAACGTCACCGCCAATATGTACAAAAGTGCTACGAGCACCTGATGGAATTTGAAAGTCTGCTGGAGTGTGATATTGCTATTGCAGCCTACAACTTGAGGAATGCAGCAAACGAACTGGGGAAAATTACGGGAAAGATTAGAGTTGATGACATTTTAGATATAATTTTCAAAGACTTTTGTATAGGAAAATAAAGGAAAAAATTAAATGCCTTTTTATTCTTCTCAGAAATGCTTAAATGTTTTTGATTTCTCATCCGATGATTAAGAAAATATTGTCACATTCCTGTAGCTTCATGCTCAATTTAGCCCAGTAAAACAGATTTACCAAGTAAGTCATCTAAAATTCCAATCTTTGTTAAACTTCAGTTACATCACTAATTCACATCTTTGGAGTCTTTTGCTGCGATGGAGAATACCATCATATGCTTTGCCTAAATTGTTGGGTCATCCAGAAAGTTCTGCCATTCTTCAATTGAAAGTGATTTTTTTTCTACTAATTATTTTGTTACTGCTGATAAAAAAGTGAATTGAAGTCAATGTCAATTGTGGTCTTAAGCTCATATTATTTGTGTAATTCTAGCAAGTGTTGTGGCATAATTTTTGTTTCAGTGCACTGCAAAGAACGGAGAACCCCACTTTCATCACATTATGCTCTTTTATTTAAAAGCAAGCCAGGTTATTTAAAACTGAGCCCAGGTTGAACTACCGGTGTTTAGCGAATTTACCGCTCAGCTGGTAGTGGCCCAAACTGGCCAACTGTGAAGATTGTTATCTTTCACTATAAACAATGCTTGACCCAACATTTCAATGGATGTCAGACTTATTTAAGCATGTCTGAAATGTTTTGTGTTACCTCCTCATATACTCTCATAGATCTTGCCCCTTCATATTTCTATTCAGATCACTTCTTTGGAGGCTGTGAAACGGCATCTCGATAATTTCTTTACAAATAAACCTAACAACTTTCCTTTTTTTTTAATTATCTTATTATTTTACAATGTTTTATTTATAGCTATCAGAAAAATGTAGAACTTTCTAGATTACCCTATAAATAATCCAATCTTTTACAGTCACTAATTCAAAAACAGCTCAAGCTGAACTTTGCTAATTTTACTTATTGCACAGATTGCCAAGAAAATAATAAGCAACTACAACCAATGTGGAACTATGCATGCTCTCATGATGTCTCAAAAACAGGGCCTGATTAAGAGAATCCATAGACTTAAGCACATCATTCTTTGAGTGACTCCAACAACCTCCTTTCTATGAGAAGAAAAATCATTATTATGAGAAACTACAGAATGATTCAGGGACCTGCTAAAATATGAGATCCAGGTCTTGTGGTCCTAAATGATAATCAGACCCTGCTCATGAAACAAACAAAGCCTCAGAACTTTTCAGGATGATGGTTAAGATAAGAATTTGTAAATCAGTTTTAAAACAAAATGGCACATTCTAATCAGAGTATGATGTATTAATATGTGTTCACTAGAAGATATAGATAACAAACAAATCTGCATTGAAGATGATTAATGACACACTGTGCTTTTTCTGTCAATCCTATAAAAGTGCAAGACATATATTCTATTTCAGAACTTTTTCAGCTTTTTAAAAAAGTTTTTTTTTTTTGACGACTTTTTTACAAAGTCAATATAAGACAATTTACCAAATAATTATGCTCATGCTACTTATAAAACAAAAGTAGAAAATATAAATATCTCTACATGTTTATTCACAGAAATTTACATTTTTGGATAAACAAGAAATAGCATTTAGTATAAAAGAAAATGTTCTTGGAAAAATGAAAGCTTTTACACGTTTTGTACATATGACCATTCTTGATGCAAATTCACAGCAGTATGTTGTTATATAACCCAAATGCATGATGCTATGCTGAATAACACAATTCACAATAAAGTATTCCCCACAGCATTTAATTTTTATTATATGTGTAATTCATGGCAAAGTTTAACATTAATTATATAATATCATCAAAATCTGGAGGCCTAAAGTGGTCTGGATCTGGGTTGAACCTATTTGGTCCTCGTATGGGAGGACGAAACGGGTCGAATCGAGCTCCTGGTGGAACAGCACCTCGCGGAAGGCCTCCAGGTGATCCTACACCAAACTGCGGTAAAGTTGGCCTAGATGGTATTCCAAAGCTACTAGGATCAACAAGCATACCACTAGGGCGTCCTCTGTGAAATGGATTTAGGTCACTTCCACCAATATCGGGTAACATACCAGCATGAGGACCATAAAAATCTTCACTACTTATGGTAGAAAAATCTGGCTGTGGCCTTGGTGGAGGAAGAGGTGAAATGGGACCTTCCCGTGGAACTTTCTTTTTTTCAGCTGAAGTATTTCCAGATGTACCCGCTTTGGTTTCCTTTACCTGGAGTTTCTGTAAGACATCCTTACGAAAAGAATCACTCAAGGAATCGAGATCCCTGTAAGCATCCGAGTACTCTTTATAGTCATCAGACACATGACTCTCAATACTTAAAGACAAAACAGCCACAGTATTTTTATCCAAGGCAACATTCACGTGCAATGTATGTCCTGCTTTCACTAGTTTGAAGAGGTAACGATGTTTGAAGTCTTTAGTAGCATATCGTAAAGAATAGAGCTCTTGGTTTTCATTCCAATCCTTTGGTAGTAACTCTGTTCCTGTACTGGAATCGTCCTCTGGCCAATCTTCGCCTATGCCCATGCACTGCAGACCTTCATTGATTAAGAGGCAATGTAGTGCTGCAACCAAACAGTCTGCTTTGGATTTTAACTGCTTCCACACCAAGTTAAAAAGCAGTTCGAGTCCACGTATGCGACCCATAATCTGAAATTAAATCACACATATATTAACTCAAATGTAACAAAAATATGTGCAAAAATATCATTTAGCTATAAAATTATTGAATAGAGTTGCTTATAAATGAGCTGCTAAAAGACTGTTCTTTATGCAGAAGTAAAAGGTTTACGTATGTCAGTATTATAGCAGCCATGGTGAGAAACAAACTGTTGCCAATATAAGCAATTTACAGCACATCATTTATAATATATTTTTGATTCACAAGAGCAGTTTAATATAAATTTACGCTAGAACATTATTCACAGCAGCAATTTCATATAAATTTTAAGCTGGAATGAAGTATTTAGAGTTAAATAATGATATTATTATGGCAACTTTATTGTTTGTGACTGCCATTTATTATTTTTAACAGTGAAGTCAATCTTTTATTTTAATTCAGCTGGAGTGTTTGTTGAAGTTTCAACCATTTGTGGTCATGTGTAGTGCACAATGCTAAGTTTGTGTAATTCTGTTTTATTATTATTATTTTTCAAAGAAAAAAACCCATTACATTATATATATATATATATATATGGCAAGAACAACAGCACAAAAAAAATTACAAATGGTTTCTTTAAAAAAGGTGTTTTATTTTCTTTAATGTATCATATAATCTTTATTTAATAATTTTTATTTTAAATTGCTAAAGTGTGTTTTCTTTGATATCCTGATAACGTTTGCTACACATATCAATAGTTTGGTGACCTTTTTTTTTTAAAAAGTTACCAACTTTCAAGTCACTTTCACCCAATTCACTGAATATGTATAGTACATTATTTATTAAATATGCACAAATAGAAAAAAACATTAATGTAAATCCACATTATTATTTTATTTAATACTATTTTTGAAGTAATTGATTTAACCCTTTCGCGATGGCACACCTTTGTTTAAGACGCTCGTGCAGGATGAAAGGGAATCGAAGGCAGTCACCGTACAAGACAGAGGTTTTGCATCGCTAAGCCTAATTTTGTAAAAAAAAAAAATCAGAAAAAAAGAAGTTTTGCTTCTAGTATCATTTTAGATTATTACTTGAGCTCTTATATATGTTAAAATTAGTACTTAAAAACGTTTTTTTTCCCCTTTATTTTACTTGAAAATATACTTAAAAAATTGCTTATCTTGCAAAATAATTTTCGGAAGCGCTATTCAAATTATTCCAAAGTTTTAATTGATAAAAACCATCAATAAAGTTTAAAATTAATAAAACAACACAATAAGGACTATTTACGGTAAGAAGTAACAAAATTTAAAATGAAGACTGAGTGGGGTAAATCTTGAAGCACGATCAAGTATCACTTTCTAACTTTAGAAAATGAATCATCACTCTCATTTGCATTAGTAAATGGTTCACTAACCATATGAAGATATTCTTCTTCTGATAAATAGTGACTTCCCACCACAATAGACTGGAGGTGAGGCTTTCCTAAATAAAAAGAGAAGAAACAGAAATATATCTGAAGGCAATGCAAAACTCCGAACAGTAGCCCTGAAAGACCGTGCATAGTAAAGGAAAAAAAGGAATTGGATACAAATCAGACACGTCAATATTTAGCGATTTAAAGAGCCCACCTCTGTTTATGCTTCCCCCTCATGACCTCTCGCAACAGCTGATGAGTAAAATATCAAAGTCAAGCAGAATATATCAAAAACAAGGTCAGGAACCTAAAACTGTGTTTATTTCAAAAGTAATAGACATAGGATGCCATCTAGTGGCCTTTAGAAAAACGTTCCAGCTTAAAATGCGTATACGCATCACCCGTCCTCTGAATGCAATCTCTAGTGATGTGTGGATAGCACGCCTGGCTGTAACAGACGTTCTTAGGGAATGCGTATATGGGACGCCAGTCCTGAAACGGCTAAATAAACAACGTACTGTTACATGCACATGGGTTCATAATAGACTGAATGCACCCAGAAATGATGATGGCTTGATGAATTCCCTTCCCAAAGAATAATTTTACAGTTCTGGAGCTTTTCCTAAAAGTACTTGTACAGCATTTCTTCAGTATGACAGAGCATGGTCAGTAATAACCACTTCAAACTACTAAAAACATCAAATGCAAACATTTTTTATTTATGATATGCTATAAATTTTAGAATAGGCTTTTGAAATTCAAGCTGATAGCAAATAAGATGACTTTTATAAAGCTTAGACCAGAAACTTGTTCCATTCATTTCATTTTTTTTTATATGGTAAACTACCTGGAAACTCCCAGATAGTCAAGCTGTTTGTGTACACAGATGAAATTTAATATAATTTGTATTTATTATTTTATTTAATGTAACTGTGCAAGTATAAACAACATGCAGAAACAAACCTAAAATTTATTTTAAGCAGAAAAATTCTGGTGGCCATAATTATATAATATCATGAATAATTACAATACATCAAATATATTATCACAACTGACATTATACTGAAACCCAAACTCTGCTTACTTCCAGTACATGATTAAGGCTCCCAAGACCTTAAGCCCCCAACATATCTTAAAGTCAGTTTTTAATTCTTTTTCTCTTTTGGTTTTGGCTTAGTTGAAGCATGCATTCCATGCTAAACCTCAGTGGAGTTCAGCATTTTAACTTAACATTCAAACAGAAAAAAAAGACATAATCTTTTGTGATAAATATACCACAGTGCAAAGCCGCTGGAGATGTCGCTGATCATTCTGGTAGAAGTTTAAACGATGATAGTGTTCTTTATTAAGTTTGATAATAAAGAGATTTATAATTATGGATATAAAAAATTAAATGGCTTATCATACTTTTTTATGTTACATTACCATTTGCATACTGAAGCTTTTTTTTTTTTTTTTTTTTTGATGCCACATCCTGCAACTTTAGAAATACTCCACTTTATGCAGTCCCAAATATTAATCGCTTTTTCAAAATGTAAGGGGGGAAAAAAGAATTTATATCCATCCTTGTTTATAGACATTAAATCTGCTTATCAAGAAGTAACTGAATTTACATTAAACCAAAACAAACTTCTTATACTGTATTGTGATGTCACGCTTATCCATCACTGCTGCTAAATCACAGACAATGTAATGTATACATGTTAAGAGTACTGCAAGCTCTGTAATGGAATTACAAATCTCTCATTTATTCATTTTGGGACGAGGGCTTTTTCTAAAATTCTGGTTTCTTCAAAGCTGGATTATCAGGCTTTTACTATACTTTGTTCAGCTTTCCGATTTTACTGAGTGACTGTTTCAATCCTTTAAAATTTGTTCACCATATCTAGCTGCTTCTTCCTTTCGAGCTGTAAATGAACCAGTGTTTGATCACAAATGTGATTCCATAGCCCCTGAGAACCTCCCCTCCCAAAAAATACAGCAATATCTATATCCTTGCTCATAAAAACAATAAAAGACAGTTTATTATGCTATTATTATATATCATGCTCATAAAAACAATAAAAGACAGTTTATTAGCCCCTGAACCTTCCCTCCCAAAAAATACAGCAATATCTATATCCTTGCTCATAAAAACAATAAAAGACTGTTTATTATGCTATTAGGATACACATAAAATGAATGCACAAATAGAGTAGTCTATATTTTAGGGTAAGCCTTGGATTATCGCCAAGTTGTTTCATTTATGGTAACCTGAGTATTTTACTTTGAATAGTACGACATGATTATTGATTTACACGTGATATAATTTGAATGAAAATTACATGCATTATTTTTAATACTCACTAAAAGGTCAGTTTTTCTTCGAAATCCCTCCACGATGGCATCTGTCCCTTTAGGCAGATAACCCTTACTCTATTTAATAAAAGCTTAACCTGACCTATGTGCCTAATTACAAATATTTTAACATGCATAATTCAGCCGTCAAGTTTCAAATTTTTGACTTAAAACATGTTTTAGGATACATTCATTATACAATTCAAATCTTCTTTGTTAAATATATTTTGGCAGAGCACTCAAAACCTGTTTTAGTGATTTTACCCAGTTTAATTCTCTGATAATATAACGAATAATAATTATCCATTTACCGAATTCGAAAATGTATTCGTCTAAAATTATGTACAGTTTCACACAAATGTGTGGTTACAAATCCAGTAAAAGTTAACTTATTGGAATAACTGTGTGTATATTTATTAATTTTGATGAGGATTGCAGCATTTGGTGGTAATTTTATGTTTTAATTAACCCAATTAAGTAAAAAGTGTAAACCAGAGTGATTATATAAAAATAAAATGAACTATAAAGCCTCTCCTCTAAAAATTTTTAAAAAGTACGTTACAATAAATATGCCGATGACAAAAAATTTTATTTTATTTTAAACATTTTCGCATTTGGAACATAAAATAAAAGCAGCAAATACTCTATCAAAAGTATTGAAAGACGTATACAATTTTATAGGTACTGTAAGGTATTTTTCATTCGTTAAACATAATATTTTTGCTAAAATCTATATTTTCGTAGTTTAACAGCTTAGAATTTTATAAAACAAATTCATAATCCAAATTACTGTTGTTAGTTACCGAAAAAAAATTAAGATGTAATTTGTTGCATAAATGTCATTAAACTATACAAATTGCTATTACAGTCAAAAGTCATTAATTCGGACACCCATAATCCGGACCTCAAAGCTAAAAACTTTCTGCGCATGCGCCACGTTCACACATGCGCATAAGACCTTTACGACTGCGCATATACGTGTGCGCAAGTTGAGAATACGTTTTCACATGCGCATTTTATGTATAATGGAGGGTATAAGCTAAAATTATTTAATTATCTATTTCAGTTAATGTTGATGATTGCGTTGTTCCTTAATCTTCGAATTGGATCCGCTTATTATTTTTTGCAGACTGTAAGAGCAATTTTATAAAAGTAAACTTGAACTTTCGATTATGTCAAATAGAATTTCTGATGCTAGAGATCCCATAGGATCTACAAAATGAAAGTATGTTTCGATGTTCATCAAACAAAAAGTGGAATTGCTGCAAAAAATGGATAAAGACATAAAGAAGGTGACAGAGTGGTTAGTGAAAATGAAAAAAATTCGAATAAGCATAATTTGCTATTCTGTTTACATTTAAAACTGACTTTGCATTGCTCTGATCTGATAAGTGTACACATTTATTTACTCAATAATTATTTACAAGAATTGCTCATTCTACTATTTTATGATGAATTACATATACAGTCAAAAGTCGTTAATTCGGACACCCATAATCCATGATGATCTATAATCCGGACCTCAAAGCTAAAAACTTTCTGCGCATGCGCCACGTTGACACGTGCGCATAGGCGTTTACGCATACACGTAAGACCTTGACGACTGCGCATATGCGTATGCGCAAGCGCAGAATACGTTTTCAAGTGAGCATTTTATGTATAACGGACGGTATAAGCTAAAATTATATAATTATCTCAGTTAATGTTGATGATTGCATTGTTCCTTAATCTTCGAATTTGATCTGGCTTATTATTTTTTTGCAGACTGTACGAGCAATTTTATAAAAGTAAACTTGAACTTTCGATTATGTCAAATAGAATTTCCGATGCCGGAGCTCCCAAAGGATCTACAAAACGAAAGTATGTTTCGATGTCCATCAAAGAAAAAGTGGAATTGCTGCAAAAAATGGATAAAGATATAAAGAAGGTGACAGAGAGGTTAGTGAAAACGAAAAAATTTCGATTGACAAGTTAGTCGGTATTTTCGGCACAGCAATTACGGGACTTGAACAGTGGGAACTTTTTAACTAAACAAGAAATTATGTCTGTTTATAGAATTAAAGAGAAAGTATTATCACATAAAACGAAGCAACTTTAACAACTTACATTGAAAGAAATGTTTAATAAAGTAAAGAGCTCTTTTTTTTTTTTTTTTTTTTTTTTTTAATTTTGATACCCTTTAAGATCATAATTGTTCTTTATTTCATAAATTACGGTTTCATATTTTTAATTTTAGAATTTCTGCATGTCATCTTACGAGATTTAAACTGATGATCTATAATCCGGAGTCGCCGAAGTCCCGACGAGTCCGGATTAACGACTTTTGACTGTATCCATCACACAATGAATGTTTCCTTTATACGGAAGTGTCCCGTTTTTCGATTTTTATGGAAATGCTGTGTGTCGAAATACTATCAAATTGCTATCAAGGGAGCTTCTGAATGTAAACAAAAAAAAAAAAAAAAAAAAAGAAACACATCTGAGAGACCGAAGCCTCAGAGCAGTGCTTCATTGGTAATGTGGGGTTCGCCCCTTCTTCCTTTCTTACCTCCATGGTAAGCATAATAAATATTTTACCATAAAAAACAGCTACATTTTCACAATGCAATTACAAAAAACCAGTTAGATCATTAACCATTTGCTCCTCCTACAAGTGCAGATAAATAACTGTTTGTACGTACTGTTAATGCCAATGCAAAGTTAACTTATTGGCATAACTTTATTCATCAGATAGACTTAACTATGACAAACAAATGCATCAGATAACCTTAACTATGACAAACACACATAAAATGTTTCTTTTCCAGTTGATGGCAAGTTAAATA